AGATTTCTTCTGGACTACTCCTTAGGGACATTAGAATGAAAGAAAACCTGGAGGCCTTATCCCACCCCAAAATAGTGGCTCATGATTCAACACCTCTTCTCCAACTGAGTATTTCTGTAGTGACTAAGGACTGTACTAGCCATGGAATATCACTCACTTTCCTGTTCTGTTTCACAGACTTCTATTTGCTGCTCCTCCCTGGTCCTCTGCAAGAAACAGCGCTGGATTAAGTAGGAGAACAATACTGAAAGAATTTACACAGAATATTTACAAGGTTGGCAGGTTTATACAAGCTCATACAGAAAATTTTCTTCAGGGAAGTAAATGGGATGTGTCAAAACCAGAATACAGACACGATGGTGATCATTTGCACATAAGGAGTTCATTTCGTTTCTCATTCAAAAACTGGTGAAAAACAATGTGAGTGCAACCATTTACAGGACTTGACCCAAAAGGAGGATGCATAATGATATATTGGCCTGAAGAAGACAAGCCTGTTACCTGTTTGTCCCCTTCATCTGTTCTTTTGTAGGAATTTTTTTCCAAAGTTGCATGTGGAACCTGAAATTTAACTCCATGGAATTCTGCTGGAGTCCCATAACGTACTTCAGTGTCATTTTTCAGTGCCATAAATCGTGGCAGAGGCAATTCTTTATTGAAAGAGAGAAAAATTCAATTGAGACTACAGAACATTAGAAACACTTTAAGCAGTATCGTCTTGCAAAACCAATGAAAGTTTATCTGTAAAAGACTACTATTTATATTTTGTAACATTTCTAAGTTTGGAACTCCTTTGATTATTTTATGTCTTAATAAAAATGTGAATGTTACACAAAGCTACATTCTTAATGTACAGCTTAATATATAATCTCTTTATGCAAAGAGAAAGAAGTAAGCCTTGTGCACATTATTAAAGCAAGCAGCAAACTCATTTCCTGCCTTCAAAACCTTGCCTGTAATGAAAAGAATAGTTTCCCACAGAAACTGTGGGACTGATGAATTAATCAGTCAGGATCACAGAATCCTCAACACTGCCATCATGAAAGGAACAAATTAAAAATGGTAGGGTTCAGAGATCACACCAAGGCCTAGTGAGACGACCGTGTCAAAAGGTCCCATGTTGCATCTGCTGTGCAGAGCAGGAGAGTGACACTTTGTCACTCTTTAAGACAATTCCTAATTATTTTGAAGAAACACCATTTATTTTTGTGCACAGTCACCCTGAAAGATCAATACAATTAAAATTAATGGAAAGCTCAAAACCAAGCAAAGCCATTCATCACCTCTGTAATCATTTATACCTACAGTTACTACCAGGAAGAGAAAGAAATCAGTTGGAGTTTGGTACATGTTACGCCACTCTAAAGGTACTCATATATTTTTAGAGAAAATGTAATTAGCACTGGAAGCATTTTTACTGAAATTGTACTGAAATAGTAAGTAAGCAGGATATCAATACAAGGACTGCAAGTACCCCTTTTCACTCAAATTTGTGGATTATTTGCAGATGCTGGACTTGTAAAACATACACAGTAAATCGCACTTAGTTTAGGTTTCTAATTTAGTTGGAGGGGGTTGTTTTTGTTTTTTGCCTTTTTTTTTTTTTAATTAACATTCTTAAAAAGGACAGTAATGAAATAAGAGAGCGCACAAGATGCCTGTAAGGAAAACTGACAGACAAATCCAGTCTGCCCCTCTTCACCCTTGATTTAAACTCCTGTTCCAGCAAGGCACTGAACTGAACTGCACCAGCTGCATCTGATCCTCTCCACTTGGTCGGGAACTCTGCACTGCAGGAGCTCAGCTCACACAGGTCTGCATGTGCTTGCCATTCTGCCTTTCCCTCCTTGGGATGCGGCAGACCTGGGAATCCCCTTCCTGTGCCTTGTAATGAACGTGAGTTTTACATTTTGTTGCCCTTACCAGGGACAGCAGAGCAGAAACTGTGCTGGGAGCAGTGACCTGATTGCAAGGCTCTGGGTAGGTCCTGCCTTTCCAACCATCTCTCTCATCTGGAACCAGTTGCATCCCTCCTTCAGCGGGATGGTGGTACACCCCCTTGTCCAAGAGCACAGCCTCAGGGCACGGTTTGAATGCCCACCTGAGATATGGGAGCTGAGGGTTCCAACCTGTTCAAGCTCAGGCAAATAGCCACATGTTTTGACACCTGAGCCCTATTGAGGCAGAGCGTGCATCACCAGGGCAAGAACATGAAGTTCCTTCCATTTAGTTGCTATCAAGGTTTTGCAGCTAAAAGGATCCTGCTTTGTCTCTTCATCACTTGAATTTGATAAGCCTCTTTCAAAAAAAGGTCTTCTCCATCAAAAATGGTACATTTAATATTATTGCCAATTTATTGGGAAGAAAAAAGATGTCTTAAAATACACTTAATACACATTTTCATACCTACTCGTGCAAAGAAACATGATTTTGTCACCACTACCCATTTATTTCTGCAAGATTATTTGCTAAAACAGGTGAGTGTTACAAGCTGCCCTGCACAGAGGGACCCCTTGACCGGCCCGCATCTCCCACAACATGCCTCCACTCGAAGCAGTTATCTGCTCTCACTCTGGACAGTTGCCAAGATCAGAAGCTGAAGGTGAGAGAGAAACGCATCTCCAGCACTGTTATCAGCTGTCATTTTTGCAACTCCTTTGTAATGCCTTTTCCAGAGGGGAATGCCGTTTCAGCTCTGCCGTACATGTAAATTCACTGCAATTTTCTACCAGTCACTTAGCGCATGTAACATTACCTTCTACTCTTTCTCTGTTCCTTAAAATTGTTCATAGACACGTAATAAAAAGTTAACCACCATGGAGAGCTGACAAGCATTAAAGAAAGTGAGAAACAACTGCACAGTGCTGCAAGCAAAATTTGCTACTTACCATTCTTAATGCTCTCAATCCTTACTGGGAACCCTGACTGTGCTGCTGCAATTAACTTCAAAGCAATATAAAATTGAGCAGGACCAAAATAACCCACACGCTTGGCTCCACAAACTTCTGTAATCTAAAAGAGAAGAGACACACTGTTGGTTAAATGCATTTCACACTTCCAGGGAATGTCAACACCTCTACATAAACAAGGGGAAAAACTCTTTAAAAAGACAAAATGCTTGCTGTATTTGAAGTTTTGTTTCGACTCAGGACATTGGTATACCAGGGACAGGATAGTAGTTGTTATGCTTTTCAGGAGCACTGCTGGGTAATGCTGCTATCCTAAAACAAGTTATGGAGTTTTATACTATGTAAGATTTTAACAGCAGGTGAAATGATAACTCCTTAAGTAGCCTCTCCAGTAAAACATTTCCACTGCAGAAGCTATAGTATCTTTAGAAAACTGTGCTTAATATTAGCCCTTACAACAACAATTTAGACCATTACTGTAACTGGAACATAAGCACAACATAACAAAATACCCAGCACGCCACTCCAACAAACACTTCTTTGTGCTAAAACTTAACATGGTCTGAAGTTTAACTGAAGTTTAACTTCTATGTATACTTCACTATTTGCTTCACTCAGCCACCACTATGAGCAAACAGCTCCATGTTCACAACACTCAGACAACCACTAAACAAACAACTGCTATCAGCAGGTTTAAAGCACAGGCTCAAGAGATGTTCACAAACAAATCTCAGATGGGCACTGAGGTTACAACAAAATGCCATTTGCCCCAGACACAAAGGGAAGGCTCAAATTGTTTTCCTGAATATACACCTACATTAGCAATGTCTCCTGGCTGGCAAGGTGCAGCCTGCGTGTGGGGACAGTAGAACTGTCACGGTTCTCCACGGGCAAGTGCTGCTCTCTCAAAAATGCTCCCAAGCTACAACAGCATGACAGAGAGTAGCCCCATATTGTATATAAGCAAATAGCACAAATGAATAGTCTATTTTTTCTGATTTATAGGTGTATATATATATACACACACATACACACATTGGCAAAAGTCAGGTGAAACAATTGCTGAAAAAAACCAAATGTTTTGGAATAGTAATGCTTACTAAACAAAGAAAACTGTCTTCAAGCAAACTCTTTCTTCCCTGGATGTGGCCTCTGCTTTAACTGAATGAGCTCTGGCTACCTTCTCTTCCTGCAAGTTTCAGACTTGATCACAAGATGCATCAAGCAGTTTTTTCTCTTACTGTTAGATGTAAAGGGAGATTGAGTCTCCTGTATAAGGTCAGATCCAATTAACCAGCAGCATTTGCCATTCTCTTTCCTCCACTTATTTTCTTTCTTTAGTCACTCTGGCCTTTTTTTGTACCACTCTTCCCTCTATCAGTGGCCTTGCTTCTTTTATTTTCTGGTGGGAATGCAAGGTACTTGGGATATGCCCTAAATGGATGGTGCTGAAACATAAATAAAAATGGGAGCATGGCCGGGAGGAAAAGGTGGAGTGGAATTTCTTGGAAGAGAGCTGCACTCCACCCAGGGCACGGGAAGGAGCCCAGCACATTGCATCACCTCAGTGGATAGCATGGAAAGCACCACAGAGACCCCAACATTGCAGAGTGCTCCCCACCAGCATAGGGAGCAGCACTGTCCACTATAGGGTTGGTCCTGCTGCATCAGCGGGTCCCCCAACAGCAGATGTTCACAGACCTTACCAGGGTCCCATGGCAGGAACTGATGCCACAGGTGGATGCCCATGGTGCTACGGGAGCAGCACCTGGCTGCCTTCCTAGAGCATGGGTGTGCTGTCACAACAGCACCTTCATAGCAGCTTCTCTGGTTTGGGAGGTTGGGCAGAGCACCAGTACCCTTTCTGAGCTCCAAAGCAGATTTCTTTCCCTCGTCCCTGGAAGCTTCCAATTCACTCAGTCCTGCTGCCCACACCACCTACTGCTGCACAGTTCCTTCCCAACCAGCAGCCCTGGATCTGCCTGATGCAGTGGTGTGGAGCACAGATAACTGGACTTGACCCTGGACACGGAATAGGCACAGCAGCTACAGCTGACACTGCCTCCCACGGGCACAACAGCCCAGGCGCAACAGATTCCAACAGCTCTGGGGACAACGCTGCTGTGGCAGGTACAGGGGAAGCCACTGGTTTATTCAACAACCTGGGGCAAAGCAGATGGACAAGGGACACAACCAAGCTGAAATTCAACCCGGATACACAGCTCTGGTCTGTTATGGGAGGCATTTGTTAAACAAGGGCCAGTGCTGAATAAGGTAGTTGGCACCCAGGTCCTCCTGTCGAGGGTGTGGTTGCTCCCCTCCTGCATGACAGTGCCTGGGATGACACCTTCTGTGGTGCAGAAATGGCACACAAAATCCGTGGGTGTACCGGCATGTACCCTATAGGGGTTTTTCTCCTCTCAGGCTCTTTTCCTGCCATGGCTACGCTTCCTGCTGTGCCTACGCTTGCTGACATGGAGCAACAGCATTACCGTGATCTGCGCTTCCTCTTGCTGGCTGCTGGAAAAAGGCAATACTGAGCAACTGGGATTTTCAGATAGGGATTTGAGATGCTACTATCTTCCTAAAGAGAGTTAATTTTCCATATTTATTTATTATATATTTTCCATGTATCAGATATGGAGAGTTAATTTTCCTTGTACCTTCTACACTTTGAAATATTAAGGTTGTTGAATGCTGTAAATGCTCTGCTTGCTCCTCATATGGAAACATGAACATTTTATTCTGAATAAGAACACTAAAAATTTTTACCAAAGGCATAACACCCCTCAAAAATACAGTGTTGTTTCTCAAGCACACTTACAGCCAACCAGCCTGAAACTGCCCCTCCATAATTTTGCTTTTTGATGATAACAACAGGAATTAATCTTGTAGACACAAGCGTCTGTGTTATTCGTGCAGCCAGATTCTGAGCTCTTTGCTAAGGGTCCAGAGCAAAAAAAGGAAGCTGACAGAGTAGTCAAATTTATTACACAATTAATTGTAGGTATTTATATAGATTAATTGCAGGTATAGGCATTTACCCTCATCAGGTTCCCTGTACAGTTAGAAGAGAGGGTCTTGGGTTCCTTCCAGACAGCATTTTATACTATCTGGAGCAGGACCTTGCTTAGAGCTGCAAAGAGGACCAGGTCTTGTCTCCAGCAACCACAGAGGCTGGTGGCAGATCAGCATTTATCCAAAAGTAATTCCTCAGAACATGCTGCCTGCTCAAATTTCCACAGCAGCTTAAACTGAACACTGCACTATTTTTTTTTCCTGGTTTTACCTTTCACAGGGTCAGTGCTCATAGCTTTTTGATGGGCAGATTACATTTAGTGATATGCAATTCTTAAATTAGGCTAGTTTGTGCAATATACTATTAGGAATCTCCATGATCCATCCGAATTAAAGGCATTGCATATGAATGTGATATAGAAATTTTTAATTTAAATCCTTTCCTGTTATCAGTTTTGATTGCATACTTTTCAGTAAGCTAGCAAGGAAAGAACTGGTATTTTCTGCTCATGCACTGCTAAACAGACACACATAAATCAAAACAACTTGCACACCTTGATACTTCAAGAGATTTTGATACAGAATTACTGATGGTCAATATATATTGCAATTTTTCCTTTAAGTCTTCAGCAGAAAATTGTAATCCTCTAGTTGCAGCCAAATATTGAAGGAGGCATTTGGAAATAATTGAAGAAAAGTATTGAAAATAATTTTTCATGGTGGCAGGTTACAGATGTTGCTTGCCAAATCTAACCTCAGGATGATAAACAGAATTAATCCAAAATCACACAATCACAGAATGGTTGAGGTCAGAAGTGACCTTTGGAGATCATCTAGTCTCATCTCCTTGCTACAGCTTCACCTAGAGCAGGTTTCACAGGATTGTGCCCAGGTGGGTTTCAAATATCTCCAGAGAAGGAGATGTTCCAATTCTCTGTCATCCTCACAGTAAAGAAGTTTTTCCTGATATTCCAATAGAACTCTGTTTCACTTTGTGCCTGTTGTCCTGTTACTGGGCACCATTGAGAAGCCTGGGTCCATCCTCTTAACACCCACCCTTCAGATACTTACATACATGGATAAAGTCCCCTCTCCATCTTCTCTTCTCTAAGCTAAACAGGCCCAGCTCACTCAACCTTTCCTCCTAACAGATGCTTCAGTTTCCTAGTCATCTTTGGAGAAGTGATGCTTGAACATTAACCACTTGGACCCACCGCCTACCTTCCAGAGCTCCAACCCATGGGATTCCTCCAAGTAGGTCCTTGAAGAGGCCAACGTTTGTTCTCCTGAAATCCAGGGCTGGGATCCTACTTATTGCCCTGCTTCTTCCACACAGGATCCTGAACTCCACCATCACACGGTCACTGCAGCCAAGGCTATCCCCAACCTTCACATCCCAAACCAGTCCTTCTTTGTTTATTAGTACAAGGACCAGCAGCACACCTTTTCTCCACCACCTGTATCAAAAAGTCATAACCAGTGCTCTGCAAGAATCTCCTGGACTGCATGTGCCCAACTGTGCTGTCTTCCCAGCAGATGTCAGGGTGGTTGAAGAAGGTGATGGATGAGAGCCAAGGCTTGTGATCGTGAGGCTACTGCAAGCAGCCTCGACTTCCTTTTCCCAATCAGGTGTCCTGCCATAAAGACCCACCCACAACAGTGTCACCCATGTTACCCTGCCCCTCAGTTCTGACCCATACAGTCTCAACTTGCTCTTCATCCATAGCTCTGAACAAAGTTCAGTACATTCCAGTTGTTCTCTCACATTAAAACCAACTCCACCACTTCATCTTGCTGGCCTGTCTTTCCTATAAAATACACAGCCATCCATGACAGTAATCCAGTTGTGGAAAACTGATCTGTTCAACAGTTTGAGAGGCAAGAACACTGTTGCTGGGTGGACTGAGTTTACACTTACTGTAAGATGTAACTGCTTATATGAAACAATTTCACAGGTCATATACCAATTAAGGGAAAAGGTTCATTTCACACAACATGTGAAAAAAACATTTCTCAGAGAAGTATGAAAAACCATAGTGTCTAATCTTATGTTTGTTCTCAGTCAGTCCTGGAACAGCAACTCTCATTTCAATGGGATTTCAGCAGGTAGCCTTAACGCACATGTTCTGTACATGAATCACGTCACCTTCCCTACCAAGTATCCATAAGAAGGAGAGAAAGAGTAAGATCTAGATGCCTGTCCATCTTCTGACAGGTCAGAAGTTTTTCTATCATTGTAAAAAAAACCCCAGATTTCCAATTCATAAACCACAGAAGGGTGGCTGTTTGAAACTACTGTTCTCCATGTAAACTTGTAATAGAAAAGCTTTACATCTTCAGGTACTGGAATACAAACCAGTTTTTTGTATTTTTTATCCACTCACTTCTCTGGCTGACAGTAAGTGTTATTTTTATAATTGCTCCTTGAAGACATCCCACATGAAGCAGTTTTTCCCAGCACGAACTGAAATTGTTCCAGCTCTCCCCAGTTCTCTCCAAACAAGTTTCCACTGCATTCTCCAAGAGCACTGACCTCGCAAACACGCTGGGCAGGTCTAATTCAGATCGCTAGAGCTAAACTTTGGGAATGGAGTATAAGCCTAGAACTGAAGTCTGTTTTCCATAAGTAGAAAAAGGAGTAAAATCAGAAATAATGATACCATAATCCTATGGACAGGCTGAGATGGTCATCCTGCAGGCTCGAGGGAAAGGTTTTTAGCTGTGAGGCAAAGGTACACTGGGATTTTTGCTTTTCCATTTAGCCATTAACGCTGCTGTGGCATCCTCTGTATGAAGCTGGCACATAGTTTTTGTCCGTTCTCTGCCACCTTGTTGCTACCTGCCACATGGATGGTCACTGCTTGTCATTTGTGGGCAAAACTAGCTCAAAGGTGCTCCTATTTCAATGTGGGTTGTGAGACCATACATAAACCGAATCATGTAAACTGAGCACAAGTCAACTCATTTGAAAGGAAAAAGAAAATGCATGTCACTGGCTCCTATGTTAAAGGAAATTTTCTCACTGCATTTTCCATCTCACCCTAGCCCCAGAAAGTGCAGTTTGTTCGCTCGTCCTTGCTCAACCTATAATGAGGTAGAAATATTTTCCAGTTCATCAACTGCCTCTGACTTTTAAGGAACATGTTTGAAAACCTTCTGCCGTTGGCCCATGCACGCCTCACCCAGCGCTCTGCGGAGGACAGCCAGCTGTGACGCCACCACTCAGACCTCAACCACAGAGTGACCTCAGGCTGCCTTCTGGGTCAACCACCAGCTTATAACATTGTTTCAGAGACAAATATTTGCAGCAGTGGCTTATCAACAGCTTATCTCGAAATTGTGTCATGCATCTGACCCACTTTACCCTTTTTTTTTTTTTATTTCTGTTTACAGACTCTTTGATCTGCTTGTTACAGACAAGTTTTGCTACATTCTTAAACAGGTATTTCTCTCTGAACAGATCATTGTTCAGACATTTGTAAAGCTATTTGGAGCCCAGGGCTATATATCTATTTCTTTATTATTTTAAGCAAAGTACGAAAAAACACATCCTGGGTCCAGGAGGATTACTGCCTGGGAAGGCAATAGGTAAAGGAATATATTGGAGCTGTTACATACCCAGTTGTACATAGGAAGAGACTCTGCTATGGATTACATTTCTTACCTCTCCTTCATATAAGTGGTATTTGTGTAACTATTTATTTTACTCTGTCATCTTGTCTTTTAAAAGACATGGTTTAAGCTCCGCACAATCATCACTTGACATTCAAGAACACATGCTGCAAAGTAAGCTATTACTAAATTGCCAAAGCTTATCAACTTCACTTAACAGAGTGGTAAAAGCAACAGAGAGCAGCCCCACCAGTCAGGCAAAAATCATCAGGGTTTCCTTAAACTCCCTCCTCCCACCACAACTCAGAACCATTCACATCTGCCTGCATCAGTGCTCCATGTGCCATCGCACCTTTGCACACCTCTGAGGAAAGCACTTCACTTCAGGAACAGGATAACACTTTTCCATCAGCTCCAAGCAGAACATTTTATGCCAACATCAAGAACTGCAAGGCTTATGACTCAGTGCCCGTTTGTGCGCACACACGTGCGCAGCCTCCAACTGAACTGCACGAAACAAACATTAAAACCAGTTTCAAACAACTCTTAAGTCTTATACTGAAGCTTAACAGTAGAAGTACTTTATGTACTAGAAAAAGTTGACTCCTGAGCAGAGGTTAAAAAAGCCCCAACCTGAAACACAATTGTTTTCAATCAGTAAAGAGCCTTGTGAGCAGGGCAGGAGCAAGGCAGTCACACTTGGTCAGTGCAAGGGTCTGTCCAGTCCTCTCTCCTGTATAACAGTGAGCTGCAGATGCCTATGGAAACTCAAGCACATGAATCATGCAGTACTCCTCTTCAAGTAGGAAGATTAGTAATGCCAGTATACTGCACATCACAAAAATATTGATCTGAATTGTGCAGCTACCAGGACACGTGAGTCAGCATTGATAATCAAAAGTTTTCAATTATTAAGGAGTGTTGGTAAGAAAAAGTCTGCCAGGGAATAAAGGCTTCTGATGCATGCTAATATTTACAACCACTGAAATATACCTGAAAGAAATGCCATCTCCCATGCTCAACCTTTTGTCTTTAATATGCAAAGGCGACTCAATCATTTACCTGCATGTGACGTGGAAAAGGTGGACATTTTCATCTCATGTCAGTCTTACTGGGGAGTTTAAGAACCTCCATTCCTGAGAAGTATATGCCAGTCACCACACTAAGTAAATAATTTTCATGATAGCAGTGCCTACAGTATTAGGTCAGAGGTTGTTTTATACATTTGCTAATACTTCAATCTGTCTTTCCTTTGAAAGAAAAACCTAGCACCACCCTCACTAAACACATGCCTTTAGGAGTATGTGAAAAGCCTGCAGGGGTGAAAGAGATGAAGCAAATTATTTTCAAAACCCCCTTGCCTTTTTCTTCTCACTATTTAGAAAACGAATGCTCCAAGAACAGCATTCATCCCCCTAAAATTGTTTTGTGTTTCATATGCACCAGTCTGTATCAAATTCATATTAAAAAGGTCGATAAATACAGCATGTGTCAATAAATGTGTGTAGGAGTGTGAGTGAAATTTTAGTTAAACTTGAAACACAAAAATTGCAAGTCTGAAAACAGGTTACTCCAGCTTTAAGAACTTGGCATAAGGATACCAACAAGCAGTAGAGATTTTTCATAAAAGTACGAGTCCACTTATTCACTGAACTGCTTCACTTTCTTTGTAGGTAATGAGTTCCTCAGCATCTGGATATGGCAAAGCAGATATTCAGCAGGTCTCTCTTAAATGCTGCATGCACAGCCTTGCCAAAGCCACTATTAAAACCTGAAAACCCACAGAAATCTGCAAAGTACATAGAATTGTTATGGATGCTTTATCTGCTTTTCAAGTCTTATTGTGCTTGTGGAAGCACAAGAGTAAGCACAATGTCTTAAGTAAAATGGCAAGTACAGAGCTATCACACCATCCCATCCTAACAAGTAGATTGCACGAAGTTTGCACAGAGGTTATCCAAATTTCTTCTGATGCATGTCTCTGTCAAGAGCATTTCATTCTCTTGCACATGAGTTTCATAAAGTTCATCCTACAGATAGTTAACACTATACATTTTAAACATTGCAAATATGGTTCTTCGAAGGCACTAGTCATCCAAGGATTTCTGTTCATTTTACTGCTCACCTCTTCCCTTCCAAGACCTAGGGGCACAACACATTAAAGCTCCAGAACATGAGAGAAGAGAACCCAGACCCTCCAACTCTTGCCCACTCAGCAGAGACATTATCCCGAACCCTGTTACCCACTAGCAACTGACATAGCAAAAGGAGCTTGATGGAGGCAGGAAAGAACTATCTACACTGGAATTTGGACACGGCTGGCACTGGGCCAGCTGAAATACCCATCTGTTCCTAAAACTTTCATTTCTGGAGGCTGAACTGAAAATAGTATCTAAACCTTACTAGTAGTGAGAGTGAATGGGGAGTTCCTTTTTAACTCAAGTGGAAATGCCATGTTTTGCACAGGAGCTGCACCAGCATCCTTTGGGAATGAAAATACAGGATGATCACAGGAACATTAAAGGACAACACTATTTTTATCAGGGGAACTGTATATCCTTGTGTTTCTGGCATTTTAGACCACTTCAGCAACCAAGTTGTTAATTATTTCAAGGAATACTTTACATAAGCAGCATACCCATTAACATATTTTGATCTTGAGAGTACATTTTCACTGACTTAAAATATAGCACTCATTTATAAGCTTGAGTTCATTATTTAGAATGACATTTATCATGAACTCCAATGTATTTCAAAATGCTTATTTTGTAAAATGTATTCAAAATGCTGTGTGTATATATATATGCAAAATTGAAATTAAATGTAACTTGAA